CCCTCCCCCCTTTTAACGTAGCAAAGATTGCGCAATTAAGCACCACAGAATCAAAACGTTAATAGAGAGAAAGCCTACACAATACAACTAGAATGACAATAAATAGCAATCGTATAACGAACATGCCCGCTCGACAGCAGGCTGTATTAGAGCTGGCTGTCGAGCGACGCTTTACACTATAGTATTACCCCACAAGACCCTTGAACACTCATTTATATAAACATTCTCAGCTTCCCGGGAAGCATACAGTACGAGCAGCTGATTAAGCTCTCAAACATTAACATACTGACAAGATCTTTCGATGCTGTATATAGCTGGTTACCCATTTCCACCTTGGTGAAGTGAGGAAAATTCGTAAAAAGTGCCTTTCCCAAGGATACGCTGCAAGTGAGAGAGCTTAACCACTAGGCCACAAACGCCACTAAAGGAAGCTAAGCAAAGACTGAAACAAGAGAGAGAGGGGGGGGGAGACATTTTTTCCCCTTTTGTTTGTTTTGGAATATTTATTTGTTTGTCTTTTTACACGATACAGACATCGACTCGGAAAGTCATTTAATGCTGATGGAAAAACACATAAAGAAACAAAACAATGAAAACGAAAAGAATTAATAGAACCCATAAGCGCGCCCTCCAACCTCACACAAAGAACAGAAGTAGAAGAAGCAATGACAGACGCCCGCCTCCCACCATACACACAAAATTATGGAGAGTGCTGCAGACGAACACGTTGCAGCTTAATATAGTTTTAGTAAGAGTTTTAAGGCACTTGCAACATAATGAGGTCATATAAGTGCCGAAGATAGAGGTGTTCTAATTAAGAGAGTAACAAACACAAAAAGGTGGAAGACAGATAAGAACAATGGATGTTCGGAAGGAAAAATAAAGGAGCAAATCATACCAGATCACCCGCTAACCACTCACCAACACGTTCCAAAGTACCAAATTACCCCCCCCCCCCAAAAAAAAACCCAGCTAATGGTGTCTCACTTACAGCTCACATGGTGCGATGCTCCTGCTACAGGACGAAATCTAATCAAAGCGAAAGTACATGGAGTAATTTCTCCAACTCCATTATTTCCCCGTTTGACGAAGGAATATAATAAAATGTATCCCCCACCCCCTTCCCCTTTTCCTCCTCAGAAGAATAGACGGTTAACCCCTTCGCATTCTCAACCAATAATGTGGTTGACTTGTATTCCAAATTTCAACCAAAAAACAAAACAAAAATGAGAGAGGCCGTAACAGCGAATCGCCGTTCTAATCACAAGTAAATGGATGCGCTCACGTGTGAAATATCCAACTATTAGTCCAGGCAAGGAAACGACTCGGTTGTCGAGTACGTGACAAATTGAAAATGAACACAAAAAAAACAAAAAAAACTTGCTATTGAGACGAATCAATTTCATTAAAACAGAGCAGCAGGAGAGAATACTCAAATTATTTTCATTCGATCCCCCCCCCCCTTTCCAACCCAAAGAAAATGTGTATTGCTTATGAGTTAAAGATTTAAGTGAAAACAAAATAGGTCCA